GTGGTGTATCAGGTAAAGCCTCTACCTGTAGTGCTGGCATCCTATATGGGCACTGGTTCGAGTCCCAGTTGCTCCACTTCTGATCCAGCTCTCTGCTGTGGCCTGGGAAAGCAGGAGAAGATGGCCCAAGTCGCTGGGCCCCTGCACCCATGTGGGAGACCTGGAAGAAGTTTCTGGGTCCTGGTTTCAGATCGGCCCAGCTCCAGCTAACTGCGGCCAGAGGATGGAAGACGTCTCTCTCCTGTCTGTAATTCTGCCTTTCAAATATATAAATATTTTTTAAAATTCAAAAAAAGAATGCAGAAAAAAAGTTCCTAGTGCTATTTAGTGACAGGCATCTAAAGGACAATAGAACTATTTATTTATTTATTTGAGAGACAGAGATCTATCCCACTGTCTCACCACTTAATGTCCACAAGGGCCTTCCGAGTTAGGAGCCAGGAACTCCATCCAGGTCTCCCCTGGGGTGGCATCCCCACTCTCTCCCGGGAAGCTGGAGGCACAGCAGGAGCCAGGGGTGGAAGCCAGGCGCTGCCATACCGGGGTGCGGGCGTCCCAACTGCGGAACCCCCAGACCAAATGCTTCCAACAGTAACGTGTTCCAGGACGCGGAGGAGGATTTCTGCCCTGGCCCTGAAGGACTCGGAATGGAAGAATCTGTGGAAACTGAAAATACAGGCAGAGTGGACAGTGAGAGAGAGAGAGACAGAGAGAAAGGTCTTCCTTTGCCGTTGGTTCATCCTCCAATGGCCACCGCGGCCGGCGCACTGCTGCTGGCGCATCACGCTGATCCGAAGCCAGGAGCCAGGTACTTATCCTGGTCTCCCATGGGGTGCAGGGCCCAAGCACTTGGGCCATCCTCCACTGCACTCCCTGGCCACAGCAGAGAGCTGGCCTGGAAGAGGGGCAACAGGGACAGAATCCGGCGCCCCGACCGGGACTAGAACCCGGGGTGCCGGTGCCACAAGGCGGAGGATTAGCCTAGTGAGCCGCGGCGCCGGCGCGACCCCAGGCTTTAACACTTTTCAGTGGTAGAACAAATGAAAAATGTTAAGTTGGGTTTTTTTGTTGTTTTTTTCTTTCAAGGTATTAAACTAGAACTGTCGAAGTGTGTATTTTCAAGAGAGCTTAGGTGGCATGGAGACGGCCACCCCCTCCCCCCATAACGCTCCAACCCCGCGGAGCGACCCCCGCTCGCCCACCCGGTTCCTCCCGGACGTGTCAGCCAGCTGGGGGCAGCACCGGCCCGCTCCCCGGCCAGACACGCAGCCCAGGGGCAGGGCTCCCGGCCGCACGCCCCACCCGCCTCCCGCTCCTCCTGGCGCTCGGTGCAG